AACTCAATCAAGTGGTTGAACAGTTACTGCGCACAGCTTGCAAGGACAACGTCAGCCACTGGGACACACAGTTACCGACCCTAGAGTTCGCTTACAACAACGCATCACATGCGGCCACAGGGAAAACTCCTTTCTTCCTGTGTTACGGACGGGAACCACTCACACCACAGCAGCCAACCACACCGGCACACGTCCAAGCCGCACATGACTTCGTCACCACCATGAAGAAGCTATGGGAGAAGACTCAACGACGACTCACCGCGATGCAGACCTCCCAGAAGCAGTATGCCGATCGTCAGCGACGTGATCACTCAGTAGCAGTCGGAGATCAGGTGCTTCTTGACACGCGCAACTTGAACCTGTCTCACCTCACATCCAAACTCCGGCCTCGCTTCTATGGTCCTTTTCTCGTTGAGGCACAGGTGACACCAGTTACATTCCGCTTGCGCTTACCAGATACATGGAAGCTTCACAACGCTTTCCATGTTCAGCTACTGAAGCCCTACAAGGACCCCAGCCAACAGTTCCAGGGACGGCAGCTACCACCACCACCACCGGTTCTCGTACAGGATGAACCAGAGTACGAAGTGGAGCGCGTTCTCACTCATCGGCGCCGCGGCGGCAAGACCCTCGAGTTCCTGATACGCTGGAAGGGATACGACCCCACTGAGGACAGTTGGGTTGCAGAAGCTGATATGGGCAATGCACGCCGTGCTCTCAAGGACTATCTTGTCAAGCAGGGTGTATCTCACGCCACCCAGCTTTGAGGGGGGGACATGTGAGAGTACGACGGCTTATGCCAGATATGCTTGCTTGCCTTTACTTTATCATGCTATTTCTAGCATAGGATAATTATATGCATGCATGAATTGCTTGATTTCATAGGCTAGGTGCTTTCCTATATTTTATTATAGCTATAGCATCGAGCTAGGTTGCGTGCACCGAATTTTGGCTTTTCGGTTGCCACCGAATTGCCTTCTACCGAATTCGGGAAGGATCTGTTCGTGACGCTTCGCGACCCGTGGAACCTTCGCGTAACACCTGGTTATGGGGCCTTGTGTCGAGCCTATATATAGCCTCGCGTTGTATCCAGGTGATCATTCGATTCAATTCAATTCACATTCTCTTTTCTGAGCTCGATCCTAGATCCTCACAAGTACGAAGGTGGGTGATGAGGTTGGCGACTGTGGCAAAGGCGGACAACTCGGGGAACAGGTAGAGCAATATAAGACGGCCTAGAGCAGCAGTAGTAGGGGAGGAGTTACGAGCGACTGCAGCGTCGTACAGGGCTCTAGCAGTCTTGTGCTAGTCAAAGTGAGCGTGTTCGGCTAATGGCAAGTGGTTGCAAATGGCTAGGCAAGGAACAGCATCACGGGTAAGCCACTGTGAGCGAGTCGCAATGTCAGCTGTGTCGGGAGGAGCGAGAGAGGCGCCAGACGAGAGGTCAAACAAGGAAACGCTGTCTCTGGAATCGCTTAGTAGGAACAGGTGGAGTTCATCGAGCCACGCATCGAACTGTATCGCACAGCCCTCACGATCGAACAAGAGTACGCTGAGAGTAGCCATCGCGGGCAGAGCAAGGTGGTGCGCGAGCTGTCAGAATGTTTTCTTATGCTCTAGCCTGTAGTGGGGTGCTCTATAGCGAGTACAACCCTTCTAGGGTTTGCTATTTGTATCCCCATTCTTGCTAGTGCAATCCTCTTTCTTTCTTCTAATTTTGTCATGCTATTAGAGCAGGTCGATCCTCTTGGATCGATCCTGTGGGTGGGTTACCACCTCCTCGCTTCCGCTGCACCTTTTTCTTCCCACCGTGCGCCCCGAGGCGCGCGGCGGTTTTCTGCCCGCCGTGCGCCCCGAGGCGCGCGGCGGTTTTCTGCCCGCCGTGCGCCCCGAGGCGCGCGCGGCGGTTTTCTGCCCGCTGTGCGCCCCGAGGCGCGCGGCGGGCTTCTGCCCCATCGTTCGCCGCGTCTAGGATTATATATAAAGGTAAACAAGCAAGTGCAGGTATAGATAGATCACAGTACAAGCAAGGTCAAGAAGTGAGCAAGTGAGGCCAAGTAGGCACAAGACCTAGCATCGTACAAAAGCGCTGATGATCACAAGGCTGAAGTGCCTTGGTAAATATATCAGCAGTGTTGGCCCGAGAGGCCACGTAAGCAAGGCGCAGCTGACCGCGCTGCTGCAGCTCACAAGCAAGGAATTAGCAAAGAGCAATGTGCTTCGTTCTGTACTCCAGTCTGTGCTCCCGACACAAGGCCAGCATGGCCTTGTTGTCTAAGTATAGAACTGGAGGAGAACCAGGTGGCTCTCCTAGGTCAATCAGCAGGTAGGTGAGCCAACGTAACTCCTGTGCAGCCATGGCCCCTGCGTAGATCTCAGCCTCACAGCTGGAGCCGAGAACGGAAGACGAGCAGGTAGACCGCCACGAGACAGAGCCGGAAACAAGGCTGAATGTGTAACCCTGTGACGACCGCTGCGTAGCCTGGTCGTCAGCCCAAGAGGTGTCTGCGTTACCAGTGAGGACCACTGGACTACGCCCTCCAAGCACAAGCCCCATGCCCGACGCACTGCACAAGTAGCGCAACACCCTCTTCGCTGCAGCCATGTGCTCTAGTCTGCGTCTCCCAGGAGCAACATAGCGTGCCAAGATGCAAAGAGGGTATGCAAGGTCAGGTTGAGTGCAGGTCATCAAGTACATGAGGCAGCCAACAAGCTCTGGGTACGGGCCACTCGGCTCTACGGACTCATCCAAAGGCAGAGCCTGAGTAGAGGAGACAGAGGAGTGGCCTGAGGTGAGGAGTACGTGTGAAGTCGAAGCGCTGAAGGACCTGCTGCACCATGTGTGACTGAGTCAGGGTAATGGTGTGCTGTGCTCTGTCCCGGGTGATCTGCAAGCCAAGGTAGCAAACAGTTCACCCAAGTCTGTGCACGTGTGTCTCTTCTGCAGATCGAACTCTACGTGGGCGAGTCCAGCAGTGTTAGCAGTAGCAAAGACCAAGTCGTCGACGTACTTGAGGATGTAAAACGGCGTCAAAGAGGTGTCGGTGCGTAGAAACAGCGACGGGTCGGCAGTAGAAGGAGCAAACCCAAGAGCCGCAAGTGTAGTCCTCAGTATGTTGTGCCACTCATGGGGCGCTTGGCGGAGACTGTAGATTGGCCGCCGGAGGCTCCACTGGGTACCAGGAGGAAACGACCCAGTGAAGCCAGGTGGGCGGCGAAGCCAGATCTCCTCGTGCAGGCTGCCCTAGTAGGAAAGCAGTGCTGAATTCAAGAGAGTGAAGCTCGTAGTCGCGCTGAGCGGCTATGTGCAGCAGCACCCGAAGAGTGGTCATCTTCGGGTTGGGAGAGAATGTCTGAAAGTAGTCAACTCCCTACCGCTGACTGAAGCCACGAGCTACGTAACGCGCCTTGAAGACAGGCGGAGAACCCCGCGGTCGCTTCACCCTGAAAATCCACATGCCACTGACGATGTTCGCCCCAGCTGGGGGAACCTCGTCAACGTAGGGGCCTGTGGACTTCGAGGAAGCCATCTCTGCGTCCATCGCTGACTGCCACTAAGAGGAGTAGGGACCCTCTATCGCCTATGTGTAAGAGTGCGGAGTCAAGATGTCTGGTGCATCCGGGTCTCCCTCAGGGGCAATCAGCATGGACACGAGATGAGGTAAAGAAGCAGCAAAGCACTGGAACTCCTCCTGCCTGTCCTCAAGGACGTCCGTGCTAAGAGCACACTCACCCCCGACGGACGGAAGACAGACAAACTCAGACTCAGCAACAAGACTAGCAGCGTAGTCTAGACGACAGCGGGCAGCGAAGTCGACAAGCTCAGCTACTAGGGCAGACGCAACACTGGACTCAAAGGAAGGGTCACTGACAACAGTAGCCAGAAGATGCTTGACACTAGGACTGCTAGCACGAAGAGAGTCAGACTCCGGGTCAGCAAGAGCAGGAAGAGAGGACTCTGGAGGAGACGGCAAAGGGACACGCAGCGGAGCAGTGGAAGGACGCAGTGCCATCTGGTGCGATCTTGGGACCGCATGAGGACGCTGACGCAGAACATGACGACTAGTGCGAGCAGCACGAACAGGCGACGCAGGACAAGACGCATGCTCACGACGCTCAGCAAGACCTCCAGTAGGACCAGCGTAGGGAGAAGGAGCAGGCAGTGGGGAGGCGGGCTGTAACAGTGACTCGAACTGGATAGGCGGTGGACACTCTAAAGAAGGAGCAGGACCAGCAGAAGGCAGGACACCAAGAACCTGCTCAAGGAGCGGAACAAAGTACGGCCGCGGCCGTGCAGCGCCTCCAGAACCAGTAGGTACACCACCAGCACCCCCAACGGCAGCATCAGCGTGAGTAGCACCCCCAGCTTCAGCAGCGAACAACTCCAGCACCCTCAGAAGCACCAGCGCCAGCAGCACCTCCAGCCCCTACACCCCCAGCAGCTCCAGCGCTAGCTGAACCACCGAAAGACTCAACAGCTCCAGCTCCAGCAGCTCCAGCAGCACCTACCCCAGCAGCACCGCCAGCTCCAGCACCGCCAGCATCTCCAGCACAAGGAGCACCCCCAGGCTTAGCAGCTCCAGTACCTCCAGTACGAGCACCTTCGGGACCCGTGGCACCAGTACCCTCAGCAGCAGTAGAACCTCCAGCTCCAGCAGCACCTCCAGCTCCAGCATCACGGCTCCATCGCCAAGCAAACCACTCGCGCAGCTCCTGTGGAGAGGGTGGCTCTCGTCGAGACGAAGCACCCGAAGGACCTCCAGACCCAGTACCGCCAGACTCCACACGAGCAGGCCCAGCACCCTCAGGCTCCACACCTCCAGTCGTAGCACCCCCAGGCTCAGCATCCCCAGACGCAGCACCCCCAGGCTCAGCACCTCCAGGCTCCACACGCTCAGGCTCAGCACCCCCAGGCTGAGCACCCCCAGACCCCGCACCCGCAGGCTCAGCACCCCTAGCAGCACCAGAGTCAACAGCTACCTCGATAGGCTCGACTGCGTCTACCTGAGACACACCTGAGGGGGCAGGACCCTGAGGGGGAAGGGGGTCTACGGGGGGGGGAACTGGAGCGAGGAAGAGCAGTGGTGGGGGAAGGGGTGCTGTGCGGAAGGGGAAGAGACGATAGTAAGGAACCGACTCGTCAAACGTGACGTCTTGGGAGGACAGAACACGGCGCGAGGTGGGGTGGTAAAACTGCCAACGAGGCGCGTCAGGGGGGAAGCCAAGGAAGACGCATGGAACAGCACGGGGGGACAGCTTGCCCGCAGACAAGTCGCGGACAAAAGCCTGAGATCCGCAGACACGAAACGCAGACGCGTCGCCAACCTTCCCCGTCCACTGCAGAGTAGGGGAGGTCTCCGGCAAGGAGACCCGGGGCTGAAGGTTGAGCTGATGCGCCGCGTACTGAACCGCGAACGGCCACAGAAAATGGGGAGCAGCCGCATGGATCATGGACGTACGAGCGACGTCCGTGACAAGCCAATGCGGCGCTCAGCAATCCCATTTTGCCGTGGAGAGGTCGGAAGCGTGAAGGTCTGGCAGATGCCCCGTGCACGACAGAAGGCTCGCAGAAGGTCAGAGGAAAACTCTCCGCCTCTGTCGGAGTGCAGACAGTAGAACAGGAAAGTCCGAGCCGGAACTGGACGCTGCAGCAAACACCTGACCCGACGCAGCTACCTGACCAGACGCAGAAACCGGAGGAGACTCAGTAGTCAGTGTGTACAGGCTCGACCTCGGCTGACGGGTAAACGTGGCCAAGTGTCGGCCCGTCAGAGCACACGTGCAGTGGGTCACTCGCTGACTCGCAGGAGTGAACAGGTCAACCCCCCCATCCTGGAGATCAGCACTACTCACCAAGTTCGTAGAGAACGAGGGGAGGTAAAGGCCTGACAGGGTGCCAGAAGGGGCCGCCGGACACGGTAAGACAGTGGAGAAGTGGGCAAGGACAGGACCCCCAGAGGGGTCTGCCAGGGAGACTGCAACCGGCCGACTAAGCGGCGTGAGTGTGGTGCGGTCTCGAAAGAAGGAGCGGGAAGCACCTGAGTCAAGGGTGAAGTTGTGCAAAGCCTGAGCCAATGTGGTACCTGAGAGAGCAGACTCACCAGCACCTGGGGCAGCAGACTCACCAGCACGTAGAGGAGCAGACACACTAACACCTAGAGCAGCAGCCTCACCAGCAACTAGAGCAGCAACCTCAATGCTCGGGTCAGGCGGAACACACAAGTAACAGTCACCCTCATCACCAGTAGACACAACATACATAACAGCAAGAATAGCATCATAATCAAGATCAAAGATAGCAACCCCCGACCTAAGCAGCTCGCCTCAGTGAGGGATCTCAGTGGCGTCAGGGAACTGGAGACGCCATGCGTCCGTCGCGCGGCCGAAGCAGCGCTGGGTGGTGTGCGAGCCACCGCACGGCTCACCAGTGCGGTCGCCGGTACGTAGGGCGTACGCACAGGGACCCGCACACCCACCTCGCTGACGCGCAGCGTACCACTCACCGAAGCTGCTAGGGGGGCGAGGTCTCATGAGTGCGCTGCTGCTGCTGGCGCTGACCACCACCGAAGCCGCCCCGCTGCACAGAGCCACCCCGACCAGCTCCACCCCCGCCGCCGCCACCTCCGCCACCGCCGCCACCGCCGCCGCCGCCGCCGCCTCCGCTCCCACCGCCACCGCCGCCGCCGCCTCCGCCTCCACCGCCGCCACCGAAGCCCCCACCCCATCCACCAATCATACTGCCACCCCCACCCCCTCCGCCGCCTCCACCGCCACCTCCACCACCCCCGCCAGCTCCTCCTGCGCCCTTGCCCCCCTTCCCCTTGCCGTTGAGGTCAACGGTGACTGTGGTGGGGCAAACAGAGAGGAAGTGGTCCCTGACCGAGCGAAGGGAGTCAGGGAGCTGGGTGACTAGGTAGTAGAGGGCGATGTACATGGGGTGGAGGGGGGTGTTCTTGGCGCAGAACTCAGCAGGAAGCGCAGCGCGGTAGCGGGTGTCACTAGTGCGATGGTGCGTAATGAGGTCAGCGACTTTGGGGAAGGCAGCGAGGTCAGGTAACAGGTACGGCAGCATGAGGCGACTAAGGGCAGCAGTGGCAGGGGAAGAGTAGCGTGCAACTACAGCGTCGTACAAGGTCTTAGCACTCTTGGACTGACTAAAGTGCGCGCGCTCAGTGGACGGCAAGTGACTACGTACTGCAAGACGTGCAGCAGCATTGCGTGTGGCCCACTGTGAGCGAACAGTACTATCAGCATCGGCAGCAGGGGCAGCAGAGGTGCGAGACGTGAGATCGAACAGTGGGAGACCATCTTTTCTATCGCACCGCAGGAAAAGCTGCAGATCATCGACCCAGACCTCAAAGTCCACAGCCCGACCCTCAGCATCAAAGTTGAGAACACTAGGGGTGGCCATGACAGCAGCAGCATCAAGCTAGCAGTGGCAGCAGCAGGCTAGGAGCAGCTCAGCAGGAGAGGCGCGGCTCGGCGGTGCTCTTACCAGGGTCGGGTGGGTAGAGGGCCGCAAGCGGTGGGGCAGGGCCGGGGCGCGCCGGCAGAGGAGTGCCGCGCCTCGACTGCAGGGCAGGGCCGGGACGGCAGCGGCGGCTGCGACCTGTCGTAGAAGAAGCAGCAGTGGCAGCAGGCATGACGGCAGCTGCTGCTGGGGTGGCGACTGTGGGGCGGCAGGGCCATGAAGAGCCGGGGAGGGGCTGCAAAGGGGCCGCGACGAGCCGCGAAGGAGCTGCGGAGGGGCTGCGAAGGAGCCGTGAGGGGCCGTGAAGGGCCGCGGAGGGGCCGGGAAGGGGCCATTAAGGGCGGCAAAGGGGCCGCGAGGGGCCGCGAGGGGGCCGCGAGGGGCCGCGAAGGGGCCGAGAAGGGGCCACGAGGGGCCATGAAGGGGCCGCGAAGGGCGGCGACGGGGCCGAGAAGGGGCCGCGAGGGGCCGCGAAGGGGCCGCGAGGGGCCGCGAGGGGCCGCGAGGGGCCGCGAGGGGCCGTGAGAGGGGCCACGAAGGGCCGCGGAGAGGTCGCGAGGGAGCCGCGAAGGGGCCGCGAATTGCCGTGAGAGGGGCCGCGAAGGGGCCTTAAGAGGGCACGACGAGCCGCTAAAGGCAGGGGACGCGACACGAAGCGCGCTCCGGGCAGGTTAAAAAAAAAAAAAAATCGTTTTAGTGGTGGGCCCTAGGAAACGTTCCCACTAGGGAACCTGCTCTATACCATGTGAAATAATGAGGAATGAATGAACTAGGAAAGTGTGTGATACAAATATGAAACCCGAGAAACTTGTACCCCTTAGTGTCTACTCCACTAGAGCCTACAAACACTATGTCATATATATCTGACACAATGTGACGAAGGAGCCCAACGCCACTTGCCGCACGCATTGACTCTGGTTTTCTCACACGCATAAACTCTGGTTTGACGACCACAACAAGACGTCAATTAGCACTAAGGTTGCTTTCGACAATTACGGGCGTGCGCCGACGACGAAAATGCCGACGTCAGCCTCTACACAAAATCCAAAGTCCGAGATTGACGGAAAATCAACACAATAACTTACGTAATCAATGCGACGACAGCAATAACGGTCCACCACCCGGGAGGAGGGAGGTCACGGTCGATCTCGACTGTCAAGGGCAAGGATCCGACGGTGCCTAGAAGCGCCCGTTAATTCCATGGCCGCGATGAGCAACTACCTGTTCTCTGGCCGACTAGTCCGCAGCTCCTGGCCCCCACAGCATCCTTCCCCGTCCCCCCCCCCCCAAGGGGTATTACACTTGAAAAAGGGAGGTAAGCTAGGAAAGTAGCTCTGGTACCAAGTGTTATAAGTTAATCCAAAACAGAATGCGTAGAAGACACTATAAAAAGGATGTGGTTACAGAATTCTAAGAATGCAATGAAGGAACGAGCATTTATAGGGCGAAAACGTGTCAAGCGAGGACCTCGAACGCGCGAGGATTGGAGGTGTCGCGCTTGGTGCGGGGCGACTCGGAATGTGGTTCGGGCCGAAGTGTAGGCTTAACCCAGACAGATCGAGGTGCACAGGCTGTACCCGCTAAGGTTGGGCTAAAGTAATGAATTTGTAAATTCATTAGCGTGTGTCTCACGAGTTGGTTTCCACAATATAACCATCGTACGACACAACATAACCACAGTAAGGAATTTGTACATTTATTCTGTGGATCATAACCCTTTTACCCCCTTGTAACCATCGGAAATACGATACTGTAGAGTTGCTTCTTCCATGTCGCTCTGTGGACATCTACATAGACGTAATAGTCTCGTTCAAAAACTGCAGTCATGGTACGTGCGACCACCTCGTACCGGGTCCTGCAAGTCCATTAGGCCACGGTAAAATTAGACGATCGATCGTCAGTCGCGATCGATGTGCGGATCGGTTACCCTATTTACTACGCTGTAACTATGCTATAGTAATTTTGTTTGCCAGAGGGTGGATATCTTTGCTCTTGACTATGATGCTATCCTCACTGCCATGTCTGCATTGCCTACTAGTACTGTGGGTGACTGTTACCTGTGTGTGCCGCCCGACCCAGGTATAGAGTCTGCTGCTCTAGGTGCTGGTGAGGCTGCTGCTCTAGGTGCTAGTGAGTCTGCTGCTCCAGGTGCTGGTGAGTCTGCTCCCTTTGATACTGCGCCTGCTGAGGCCTTGCACACCTTCATGCTTGACTTAGTTGCTTCCCGCTCCTTCTTTCGCGACAGCACCGCACTCACGCCGCTCAGTCGGACGGTTGCAGTATCCCTGGCGGACCCCTCTGGGGCCCCGGTTCTTGCACACTCCTCCACGGTTCTGCCCTGTCCGGATGCCCCGTCTGGCTCACTGTCGGATCTTCAACTCCCCTCGTTCTCTACGAACTTGGTGAGTGGAGCTGACCTCCAGGACGCGGGGTTGACCAGTTCACTCCTGGAGGTCAGCGTGTGACTCGCTGTACGTCTACTCGGACGGGCCGCCACCAAGCCATGTTCACCCGTCGGCCTGGGTCGAGCTTGTACACACTGACTACTAAGTCTCCTCCGGTTACTGAGTCTGGTCAGGTAGCCGCGTCTGGTCGGGTGATTGCTGCAGCGTCCTCGTCTGGTCCGGAGTCTGTCCCCTGCTCGTGTCATCTCCTGTCACACCAGACTCTCCTTTGGCACCACTGCCTTGGTTACCCCTCCCTGCCTCGTCTCCAAGGTATGGCCTCCCGTACCCTTGTCTCTGGTCTCCTCCGGTCTCTCCCTCCCCTTCCACCAAGGCCTGCCCCTACCTGCGTTCCTTGCGTTGAGGGACGGCAGTGCGCCGCTCCTCACTCCTCCGAGTTCCCTCCGACGGAGGCTCCCTTGCAGACTCTCCTCATGGACGTGTGGGGCCCAGCACACGTCTGTGGACAGGGTCACGAGCGTTAGGTTCTGCTGGGCGTTGATGACTACTCGCGTTACACCACAGTCTTCCCCTTGCGCCGCAAGGGTGAGGTCACTGAGGTGTTGATCACCTGGATCCGCGCTACCCGTTGCCAGCTCAGCGAGATTTTCGACTCAAACCTTCCTGTTCTGCGTCTGCACTCCGACAGAGGTAGTGAGTTTTCCTCCGACCTTCTGCGGGCCTTGTGTCATGCGGAGGGCATCCGCGAGACGTTCACGCTTCCGGCCTCTCCACAGCAAAATGGGATTGTTGAGCGCTGCATTGGCATGGTCATGGGCGTCGCTCGTACGTCCATGATTGATGCGGCTGCTTCCCATTTTCTTGATGGTAGACCCCCTCTCCCCTTAGGGTCCGGCCCCTTAAGGTGTGTCCTAGGTAGACCCCATCCCCCTTGGTACGCTTGTCGAGGTCACTGGCGACTCTGGTGCTGCTGGGGGTGGTGCTGCTAGGGGTGTTGAGTCTGAGCGTGAGGAGCCTGAGGGTGCTGAGCCTGCGCGTGTGGAGCCGGAGGATGCTGAGCCTGAGCGTGCGGAGCGTGGGGGTGCTGAGCTTGTGTGTGAGGAGCCTTGGGGTGCTGCGTCACTTGGCGGTACTCGTGCTGCCTCCCTCCCACCGACGGAAGCCTTTCTCGTCACAGCAGCTGCGTGAGTGGTACGACTGGCGCTGCCAATTTCAGCATAGTGCTGCTGGAGCTGGAGACCCTGGAGGCGCTAGGTGCTACAGGTCCTGGAGGTGCCGAAGCTGCTGGAGCTGGTCCGGAGTCCGGGGGTGCTGAGCTCGGCGGTGTTGCGTCTCCCCGGCGGGAGCCTCTCTCGCCATAGCAGCTTTGCGAGTGGTCCGCTTCCTACTCCCGCCCTCAGAGTGGTCCTTCTGCTGCCGGTGGTGACGGAGGTTCAGGAGGTGCTCGTGTTGCGAGTCCTAGAGTTGCCGGGACTGGTGTTGCTGCTTCTGCTGGAGGTTCTGGAGGTGCTGGAGCTGGTGGTTCTGGGGGTGCTCGTCCTTTGAGTCCTGGAGCTGCCGGGTTTGGTGGTACTGCTGCTACTAGAGGTCCTGGAGGTGCTCGTACTGTGGGTACTGGAGCTGCCGAGGCTGGAGGTCCTTGAGCTGCTGGAGGAGCTGTTGTTACTGTGGCTGCTGGAGCTGCTGGTGCTACTGGAGCTGCTCAAGGTGCTGCTGGAGCTGGAGATGCTGGAGCTGCTAGTGCTGCTGGAGCTGCTCGAGGTGTTGCTGGTGCTGCTCGAGGTGCTGCTGGAGCTGGAGCTGCTGGAGGTGCTGCTGGAGCTGGAGCTAGAGGTGCTGCTGAAGCTGGAGCTGCTGGAGGTATTGGTGCTGTCAGTGCTGGTTTTGGAGGCACTGCGCGGCCGCAGCCGTAATTCGTTCCCCTCCTTCAGCAGGTTCTTAGTCCCCCGCCTTCTACTGGTCCTACTCCTCCCTTACTCTGTCCACCGCCTGACCAGTCGCAGTCACAGTTACAACCAGCCTCCCCACTGCCTGGTCCTTCTCCTTATACAGGGCCGACCAGAGGTCTTACAGAGCGTCGTGAGCCTGAGTCTCGTCCTGCGTTGCCTGTTTGCGCTTCTAGCACTGGTCATCGTGTTCCGCGTCAGTGTCCTCCTCCTGTCCCTCGCACGCACCAAATGGCACTTCGTCCTTCCTCTGCTCCACTGCGTGTTCCTCTACTGTCTCCTATTGCGTCCTCCTTTGCTGATAGTCTGGACCCCGAGTCTGACTCACTTCGTGCTGCCAGCCCTACTGTCACGCGTCTACTAGCTACTGTTGTCATTGACCCTTCCTTTGGGTCCACTTCGGCGTCTGCCCTAGTTGCTGAGCTTGTTGACTTCGTTGCCGTCTGCCGTCTAAACTATGCCGCTAGTCTTGTTGCTGAGTCTGATTCTGTCTGTCCTCCGTCCGTCCGGGGTGAGTGTCCTCTTGGCACGAACGTCCTTGAGGACAAGCAGGAAGAGTTTGAGTGTTTTGCAGCAGCTGTACCTCATGTCGTGTCCAAGCTAATTGCACCTGAGGGAGATCCGGATGCACCAGACATACTGACCCCGCGCTCCTACGCAGAGGCGATTTCGGGTTTCACTCCTCTCAGTGGCAGTCAGCCATGGACGCAGAGGTGGCCTCCTGGAAGTCCACAGGCACCTACATCGACGAGGTTCCCCCACCTTGGGCGTACATCGTCAGTGGCATGTGGATTTTCAGGGTGAAGCCACCGGGTTCTCCACCTGTCTTCAAGGCGCGTTACGTTGCACGAGGCTTCAGTCAGCGACAGGGAGTTGACTTCTTTCAGACCTTCTCCCCTACCCCGAAAAGGACCACTCTTCAGGTACTGCTGCACGTCGCCGCTCAGCGTGACTACAAGCTTCACTATCTTGACTTCAGCACTGCTTTCTTACAAGGCAGCCTGCACGAGGAGATCTCGTTGCGCCGCCCACCTGGTTTCACTGGGTCGTTTCCTGAAGGTAGCTAGTGGAGCCCCCAGCGGCCAGTCTACGGTCTCCGCCAAGCGCCTGGCGAGTGGCAGGACACACTGAGGACGACTCTTGCGGCTCTTGGGTTTGCTCCTTCTACTGCTGACCCGTCGCTGTTTCTACGCACCGACACTTCGCTGCCACCGTTCTACATCCTCATGTACGTTGACGACTTGGTCTTTGCCACTGCTGATACTGCTGGACTCGCCTACATGATGTCGGAACTGCACAAGAGACACACGTGCACTGACCTGGGTAAGCTGCGCAGCTATCTTGGCTTGCAGATCACCTGGGATAGAGCACGGCGCACCATTACCTTGACTCATTCACACATGGTGCAGCAGGTTCTTCCACGCTTCGACTTCCAGTACTCCTCGCCACAGTCCACTCCTCTGCCTACCGGTCACTCGCTCTCAGCTCTGCCTTTGGATGAGTCCGTAGAGCCGAGTGGCCCGTATCCAGAGCTTGTGGGATGCCTCATGTACGTGATGACCTGCACTCGACCTGACCTTGCTTACCCTCTTAGCATCCTGGCACGCTACGTTGCAGTCGGGAGACACCGACCCGAGCACTGGAAGGCCGCTAAGAGGGTGGTGCGCTACTTGTGCAGTACATCGGGCATGGGGCTCGTGCTTGGAGGACGGGGTCCATTTGTCCTCACTGGTCACGCAGACGCTTCTTGGGTTGACGACTTGGCTACGCAGCGGTCATCATAGGGTTACACCTTCAGCCTTGGCTCCGGTTCTGTTTCATGGCGGTCTACCCGCTCGTCTTCTGTTCTCAGCTCCAGCTGTGAGGCTGAGATCTACGCAGGGGCCATGGCTGCATAGGAGTTACGCTGGCTGACCTACTTGCTGACTGACTTGGGAGAGCCGCCTCGTTCTCCTTCAGTTCTTTACGTCGACAACAAGGCCATGATTGCCTTGTGTCCGGAGCACAGACTGGAGCACAGAACAAAGCACATCGCTCTGCGCTACTTCCTTGCTCGAGAGTTGCAGTAGCGTGGTCAGCTTCGTCTTGTTTACGTGGCCTTTTGAGGCCAACACTGCTGATATCTTCACCAAGGCACTTCAGCCTGGTGATCATCAGCGTTTCTGTACAGTTTTAAGCCTTGTGCCTTCTTTGCCTCAGTTGCTCACTTCTTGACTTTGCATGTACTGTGATCTATATACTTATACCTGCATGCTTAGACTTGCTAGGTTGTGATCACTGTACTGCTTGTTCTCTTATCTAATATAACTCTGCAAGTGAACTGACCTTGTGGCTTTTTTGCTTGTGCTCAGAATGCGTGGTGACTTCGTGATCCACTCTGAGCTTGCTTTGCCTTTCTTGATTGGTCTTGTGGCCTCTTGTTCTCCCCCACTTTGCCTATGGGGGTGTGTCAAATTTATATGCTGCTTATTGTGTAGGCTGTAGTAGGGTTGCCCATATGGGGTACAACCTAATTAGGGTTTTCTACTTGTACCCATCGTGCAGCTAGTTCATCCATTCCTGTTCGTTATTTTGACAGATATTTGCATGACGGTCCTGTGATATTTGCACTTGCACCGCGTCTTTACCCCAATATGAAAATTCTCCCAACACTCTGTCGCACGAAAAAAATCAACGTCGAAGGGGTCCCGTGTGGCACCCCAACACCAAAATCCATGCGAGATCTGGCTTTGTAAGCTCCGTCAGTTTTGGTAAAGTGGATTCGCGACCGGGGCGGGTTAAGGGGTGTCTCTTATTTGAATAGTTTTTGTTATGTTTTCACAGACTGCCTACTTGTATCGAAACGAACGGTCCCAATAGTGGGTACCGGACAATCCGTTTCGAAATTTCGAAACCTCAGACTATCTGAAGGCAAAAACGTCACTTTTCCCTACTTCGCAACCAAATTATCGTGGAAGGTACTTTACCGTAGTAACCCTGTTTAGACGGGCGTTGCGTGCCTTTGGTAAATTGTGTCAGAATATTTTAGCTTATGCTTTTGTGTAGGCTATAGTGTGGTATCCCATAGGGGGTACAACCCAATTAGGGTTAGTACTTGTACACACTTCATTCATAGTTCATCCATTCTCGTTCACATTTCCTCATGGTATCGAGCAGGTTCCCTCGTGGGAACTGTTCCTAGGGCCCACCGATCCCTTTTTTTCCTGCCCGGGGAGCGTCCTGCCCCTGCTCGAAGCGCACCTAGGGTCGCGCCCTTCTTAGCGGCCCCGTCGCGTCACCTTAGCGGCCCGTCGCGTCGCCCTTAGCGGCCCGTCGCGCCGCCCTTACGGTCGCGTCGCGCAGCCCTAACGGCCGCGTCGCGCCGCCCTTTCACCAGCGGCCCCGTCGCCGCACTAGCAGCGGCCCGTCGCCACCCTTCTCACTGGCCCCGCCGTCTCGCTACACGGCCCCGCAGCCCTCACCTGCGGCCCGCCGCTCTCAACTGCAGCCCCGCCGCCCTCAATTGCGGCCCCGCCGCCCTCAAGTACTGCGGCCCCGCCGCCCTCAGCTGCGGCGCCGCCGCCCTCTGCTGCGGCTCCGCCGCCCTCAACTGTGGCCCCGCCGCCCTCTGCTGCGGCTCCGCCGCTTTCACCTGCGGCCCCATCGCCCTCTGCTGCGGCCCCGCCGCCCTCTGCTACGGCTCCGCCGCTTTCACCTGCGGCCCCGCCGCCCTCTGCTGCAGCCCCGCCGCTCTCACTTGCAGCCCCGCTACTCTCACTGGCGGCCCCGCCGCTCTCACCTGTGGCCCCTGTCACCTGCTGCAGCGCCGCCCGCCACCCGAGCTGCCCGACCCGCCCCACCCAGCCGAGCAGCCGACCGCCGCGCCGCCCTACAGCAGCACCGCCGAGCCGCCCGGGTAACCGAGCAGCCGGACAGCCGAGCCGCCGAGCCGCCCAGCAGCCGAGCAGCCGAGCCGCACTGCAGCCGAGCCGCCAAGCAGCCGAGCTGCCGTACAGTCGAGCCGCCGGGCAGCCGAGCCGCACTCCAGCCGAGCCGCCCAGCCGCCAAGCCGCACTGCTGCCGAGCCGCCGAGCCGCCCGGTAAACGAGCTGTCGAGCCACCCTGCTGCCAAGCCGCCCGAGCTGCCCTGTCCGGTAAGCACAGCGCCTCTTTCACTGCACTGCCCTCACCCTACTATCTGCACTGCTAGTCTACTGTGGTCATGGCTACCCCTAGTGTCCTCGCTTTTGACGCTGAGGGTCGGGCCATTGACTTTGAGGTCTGGGTAGATGATCTGCAGCTGTTCTTACAGTGCGATAGGGCAGACGGCCTCTCTTTCTTTGACCTCACCTCTGGCGCTTCCCCTGCCCCTGCTGCTGATGCTGACGCCACTGTTCGCTCCAAGTGGGCCACGCACGACGCTGCTGCACGTCTTGCTGTGCGTCGCCACCTCCCTACCTCCGAGCGTGCGCACTTTAGTCAGTACAAGAGTGCTCAGGCCTTGTACGACGCTGTAGTTGCACGCTACTCCTCCCCTGCCACTGTTGCACTGAGCCGTCTCATGCTGCCGTACCTCTTCCCTGAACTTACTGCCTTTCCCATAGTCGCTGACCTCATTACGCACCTCCGCACTAGTGACACTCGCTACCGCGCTGCGCTTCCTGCTGACTTCTGCGCCAAGAATCCCCCCCCATGTACATCACCCTCTACTTCATAGTCACTCGCCTCCCTGACTCCCTTAGAGTAGTCAGGGACCACTTCCTCGCAGTGTGCCCCACCACTCTCACCATTGACCTCATCGAGAAGGCCCTCCTAGCGGCAGGAGAAGAGCATAGTCGCTGTAGGAGCCTCTCGCGGTGACCCCCGCACCCCTGTCTTTGAGGGGTGTTCTCCCTCCCCCCTCTTGCCCTCTGTTGCCTCTACTGCTGCGGCCGACCTCGTTGGTTTTGAGTCGGTCGGTGCTGCGTCTGCCCCTTCGGGGAAGCGCCGCACAGGCAAGGGCAAGGGGGGCAAGGGCGCTGGAGGAGCTGGAGGGGGCGGTGGAGGTGGTGGTGGAGGCGGCGGAGGGAGTGGGAGTGGTGGAGAAGGTGGGGGTACCGGTGGCAGCAGTGGGGGCGGAGGCGGCGGCGGTGGCGGAGGGAGCGGAGGAGGCGGTGGTAGCGGAGCCGGGGGTGGTGGCGGAGGCGGCGGTGGTGGCGGAGGCGGCGGAGGCGGCGGAGGTGGCGGTGGAGCTGGTCGCGGGTCTACGCAGAGGAGTGGCTCCGGTGGTGGTCCGCGCCAGCAGCAGCAGCGCGGTCGTGAGACCCTGTCCCCTCAGCAGCTCCGTGAGTGGTAAATTGCACGCCAGCGGGGTGGGGGTTTTGGTCCGTGCACCTACGTCCTGCGCACCGGCAACCGTGCGGGTGCTTTGGTCGCATGACGGACACGTGGCGTCACCAGTTCCCTGAGGCCACTGAGATCCCTCGCTTGGGCGAGCTGTCTAGGGCGGGAGTTGCCATCTATGACATGTCTAGGGCGGGAGGTCCACTGAGATCCCTCGCTGGGGCGAGCTCGCTAGGGCGAGCAGTCTTGATTTTGATGCCATTCTTTCTGCCATGTATGCTGTGACTATTAGTGATGAGGGTGACTGTTACCGGTGTTTCCCGCCCGATACGGGCATTGAGACTGCTGCTCTAGGTACTGGTGCGGCTGCTGGAGCTGGAGGTTCTTCGGGTGCTGAGGGTGCTGGTGCCGCGGGTCCCGGAGGAGCTCGTACTGGGAGTACTGGAGCTGCTGGGCCTACGGGTTCCACTAGAGCTGGTGCTGCTGCGGGCGTTGGTGCTGAGCCTACTGCTCGTGGTGCTGCTGGGGGTACTACTGGTGCTGCTGGACGGTTCTGGAGTTGCTGGAGGTGCCGCTGGAGCGGATGCTCCTGCTGGGGGTACTGGTGCTGTTCCTGCTGTGTCTGGCGTCGCAGCGCGGCCTCGACCGTACTTCGTTCCACTCCTGCAGCAGGTTCTTGGTCTTCCACCTTCTACAGGTCGTCCTCCTTCTTTAGAGTGTCCACAGCCTGTCCCGTCACAGTTACAGTTACAGCTTGCCTCCCCACTACCTGCTCCCTCTCCCTACACTGGTCCTACTGGAGGTCTTGCTGAGAGTCGTGAGCCTGCGTCTCGCCCTGCGTCGCCTGTTCGTGCTGCTCGCACTAGTGGTCGTGGTTCGCGTCAGCGTCCTCCTCCTGTCCCTGGCATGCACCAGATGTCTCTGCGTCCGTCCACTGGTCCCCTGCGTGCCCCTTGACCTTCTCCTCCTGAGTCCTCTCTTCCTGCTCTTGCCGACCCAGAGTCGGACTCTCTTTGTGCTGCCAGTCCTACTGTCACGCGACTCCTTGCTACTGTCGTCACTGACCCTTCCTTTGAGTCCACTGCTGCGTGTGCCCTAGTTGCTGAGCTCGTCGACTTTGCTGCTCGCTGTCGCCTAGACTACGCTGCCAGTCTTGTTGCTGAGACTTGAGTCTGTCTGTCCTCCGTCTATCGGGGGTGAGTGTGCCCTTGGCACGGACGTCCTTGAGGACAGGCAGGAGGAGTTCCAGTGTCTGGCTGCTGCTTCACCTCATCTTGTGTCCGTAGTGCTTACCCCTGAGGGAGACCCGGATGCACTTGACATCCCGACCCCGCGCTTTTACGCGGAGGCAATAGAGGGTCCCTACTCTTCTCAGTGGCAGGCAGCTATGGACACAGAGATGGCTTCCTGGAAGTCCACAGGCACCTACGTTGACGAGGTTCCCCTGCCTGGGGCGAACATCGTCAATGGCATGTGGATCATCAGGGTGAAGCGGCCGGCCGGGTTCTCCGCCTGTCTTCAAGGCACGGTACGTGGCTCGTGGCTTCAGTCAGCGGAAGGGAGTTGACTACTTTCAGACCTTCTCTCCCACCCCGAAGATGACCACTCTTCGGGTACTGCTGCACGTTGCTGCTCACCGTGACTACCAGCTGCACTCTCTCGACTTCAGCACAACTTTCTTGCAGGGCAGCCTGCACGAGGAGATCTGGCTGCGCCACCCGCCTGGCTTCACTGGTTCGTTCCCTCCTGGTACCCATTGGAGTCTCCGGCGTCCAGTCTACGGTCTCCGCCAGGCGCCCCGTGAGTGCAACACTTGCGGCTCTTGGGTTTGCTCCCTCTACTGCCGACCCGTCGCTGTTTCTGCGCACCGACACCTCTCTGCCGCCTTTCTACATCCTCGTGTACGTCGACGACTTGGTCTTTGCCACAGCTGACACTGCTGGACTCGCCTACGTGAAGTCTGAGCTGCAGAAGAGACACACGTGCACAGACCTGGGTGAACTGCGCAGCTACCTTGGCTTGCAGATCACCCGGGACAGAGCACGCCGCACCATTACCTTGACTCAGTCACACATGGTGCAGCAGGTCCTTCAGCGCTTCGGCTTTACGTACTCCTCGCCTCACGCCACTCCTCTGCCTACTCGCCACTCGCTCTGAGCTCTGCCTTCGGATGAGTCCGTAGAGTCGAGTGGTCCGTATGCAGACCTTGTTGGCTGCCTCATGTACCTGATGACCTGCACACGACCTGACCTTGCATACCCTCTTAGCATTCTCGCACGCTATGTTGCTCCTGGGAGACACCGACCAGAGCACATGGCTGCAGCGAAGAGGGTGTTGCGCTACTTGTGCAGTACGTCGGGCATGGGGCTAGTGCTTGGAGGGCGCAGTCCAGTGGTCCTCACTGGGCACGCGGACGCTTCTTGGGCTGACGACCAGGCTACGCAGCGGTCGTCACGGGGTTACACCTTCAGCCTTGGTTCCGGCTCTGTTTCGTGGCAGACTACCCTTCACGTACTCCTCGCCTCAAGCCACTCCTCTGCCAACTCGCCACTTGCTCTCAGCTCTGCCTTCGGATGAGTCCGTAGAGTCGAGTGGCCCGTATCCAGAGCTTGTTGCCTGCCTCATGTACCCGATGACCTGCACACGACCTGACCTTGCATACCCTCTTAGCATTCTCGCACGCTATGTTGCTCATGGCCTTGTTGTCTCTTAGGAGCAACATAGCGTGCGAGAATGCTAAGAGGGTATGCAAGGTCAGGTCGTTTGCAGGTTATCAGGTACATGAGGCAGTTAACAAGCTCTGGATACGGGCCACTCGACTCTACGGACTCATTCGAAGGCAGAGCTGAGAGTGAGTGGCGAGTAGGCAGAGGAGTGGCCTGAGGCGAGGAGTACGTGAAGCCGAAGCGCTGAAGGACCTGCTGCACCATGTGTGACTGAGTCAGGGTAATGGTGCGGCGTGCTCTGTCCCGGGTGATCTGCAAGCCAAGGTAGCTGCGCAGTTCACCGAGGTCTGTGCACGTGTGTCTCTTCTGCAGCTCGGATTTCACGTAGGCGAGTCAAGCAGTATCAGCTGTGGCAAAGACCAAGTCGTCGACGTACACGAGGATGTAGAACGGCGGCAGAGAGGTGTCGGTGCACAGAAACAGCGACGGGTCAGAAGTAGAAGGAGCAAACCCAAGAGCCGCAAGCGTAGTCCTCAGTGTGTCGTGCCACTCGCGGGGCGCCTGGCGGAGACCATAGACTAGACGCCGGAGACTCCACTGGGTACCGAGGAGGGATCGACCCAGTGAAGCCAGGTGGGCGACGCAGCCAGATCTACTCGTGCAGGCTGCCCTGCAAGAAAGCTGTGCTGAAGTCAAGAGAGTGCAGCTCGTAGTCACGGTGAGCAGCAATGTGCAGCAGTACCCGAAGAGTGGTCATCTTCGGGGTGGGAGAGAAGGTTTGAAAGTAGTCAACTCCCTGCCGCTGACGGAAGCCACGAGCCACGTACCGTGCCTTGAAGATAGGCGGAGAACCCGGCGGCCGCTTCACCCCGAAGATCCACATGCCACTGACGATGTTCGCCCCAGGCGGGGGAACCTCGTCAACGTAGGTGCCTGTGGACTTCCAGGAAGCCATCTTTGTGTCCATAGCTGCCTGCCACTAAGAAGAGTAGGGACCCTCTATCGCCTCCGCGTAAGAGCGCGGAGTCGGGATGTCAAGTGCATCCGGGTCTCCCTCAGGGGTAAGCAGTACGGACACGAGATGAGGTGAAGCAGCTGCCAGACACTGGAACTCCTCCTGCTTGTCCTCAAGGACGTCCGTGCCAAGGGCACACTCACCCCCGACGGACGGAGGACAGACAGACTCACACTCAGCGACAAGACTAGCAGCGTAGTCTAGACGACAGCGAGCAGCAAAGTCGACGAGCTCAGCAACTAGGGCACACGCAGCAGTGGACTCAAAGGAAGGGTCAGTGACGACAGTAGCAAGGAGACGCGTGACAGTAGGACTGGCAGCACGAAGAGAGTCCGACTCTGGGCTGGCAAGAGCAGGAAGAGAAGACTCAGGAGGAGAAGGCAAAGGGGCACGCAGAGGAGCAGTGGACGGACGCAGAGACATCCGGTGCGTGCCAGGGACACGAGGAGGACGCTGACGCGAACCACGACCACTAGTGCGAGCAGCACGGACAGGCGACGCAGGGCGAGACGCAGGCTCACGACGCTCAGCAAGACCTCCTGTAGGACCAGTGTAGGGAGAAGGAGCAGGCAAAGGGGAGGTAGGCCATAATTGTAACTGTGACGGGACAGGCTGTGGACACTCTAGAAGGCGGAAGACCAAGAACCTGCTGCAGGAGTGCAACGAAGTACGGTCGAGGCCGCGCGGCGATGCCAGACACAGCAAGGAAAGCACCTGTACCCCCAGCAGGAGCACCAGCTCCAGCAGCACCTGCAGCAGCTCCAGAACCTCCAGCAGCACCAGTAGCACCCCCAGCAAGACCGCCAGCAGTAGTCTCAGCGCCAACACCCTCAGCAGCACCAGTTCCAGTCGAACCCGCAGGCCCAGCAGCTCCAGTACTCCTAGTTCGAGCACCTCTGGGACCCACGACACCAGCACCCTCAGCAGCCGAAGAACCTCCAGCTCCAGTAGCACGGCTCCAGCGCCGGGCAAACCACTCGCGAAGCTCCTGTGGAGAGAGTGGCTCCCGCTGAGACGAAGCACCCGGAGAACCTCCAGACGCCACACGAATAGGTCCAGCTCCCTCAGGCTCCACACCTCCAAGGCGTAGCACTCCCAGGCACAGCACCCGCAGGCTCAGGGAGGCGGTAGGGGAAGAGGCGGTAGTAGGGGACCGACTCGTCAAACGTGACGTCTTGGGAGGACGGAACACGGTGAGACGTGGGGTGGTAGAACTGCCACCCAGGCGCGTCAGGGGGGAACCCCAGGAAGATACAAGGAGCAGCACGAGGGGACAGCTTGTCCGCAGACAAGTCGCGGACAAACGCCCGAGATCCCCAGACACGGAACGCCGACGCATCGCCAACCTTCCCCGTCCACAGCAAGGCTGGGGAGGTCTCCGGCCTGGAGACCCTGGGGTGAAGGTTGATCTGATGCGCTGCGTACCTCACCGCAAACGGCCACA